GAAGAAGGGTCCAGGCCCAAAACGTCAGCCTTCCTGCTCCTATGATGCTGCTTGGCCTGCTGTGTTCATCCAGCTCTAAACCTTGTTATCCCATTTCCTTGAATCTTCTGGCTCATTCTATTGTTGATGGTGGTGCACACCTATTTTTGGATGATGTTCCCAAGATGTAATTATCTCCAGAGGTGCAATCTAGAGCAGAGGAAAGCATAGACGTCATAACATTGCATACAGAATGGGAACTTCCTACCCCAGGAATTGTAAGAAAATCCTCATTTCTTTGTCTCCACAATCTTTTTCAAAATTCACTTTGTTGTTCTTTTTGTGTATTTGCTTCATTCTTGAAAAAGGTGTTCAATGTGCTTTCATAGTTTCAGCAATTGTTGGTAATACAGTTGTGAAGTTTTACAATGGAGTTGAAAGTACTTCATTTTACCAACACAATGCTTTAACCTTTCCTTGATGCGCAACACTGAAGGGGAGAATAGGTTTGAGCTATAGAGAGAGGCTCAATAGGCTGAGGCTTTTTCCCCTGGACCATTGGAGTCTGAGGAGTGACTTTATACAGGTTTATAAAATCACGAGGGGCATGGATAGGGTGAATAGTCAAGGTCTTTTTCTCAGGGTAGGGTAGTCCAGAACTAGAGGGCCTAGGTTTAAGGGGAGAGAGGAAAGATTTAAAAGGGACTGAGAGACAACTTTTTCTTGCGGAGGGTCGTGCATGTATGAAAGGAGCTGCCAGAGGAGGTGGAGGAGGTTGGTACAAATGCAACATTGAAAAGGCGTGTGGATGGGTTCATGAATAGGAAAGGTTGAAGGGATATGGGCCAAATGCTGGCAAATGGGACTAGATCAGTTAGGATATCTAGCCGGTGCGGATGAGTTGGACTGAAGGGTCTGTTTCCATGCTGCAAACTTTATGACTCCATCTTTCTCCTCAAGGAGTTTTGATAGTTTGGATCCTGGAGGTTAGCTTCTTCAAGCAATCTTCCTTGATAGGTACTCACTGCCATTACATTCATGTCAGCAGTTCAAGAAGGTAGCTCACCACCACCTGCTCGAGGGCGAATAGATTTGGGCTTAAATTGTAATCCTTCTTCCCTTGAGTTTTCTCGACATTTGGCTTGTTTGGTGAGTTTGGTAAGGTAAGAAGATGAGTAGTAATGAGGCAAACTGGGTCATCAACAAGGTGATTAACAAACAATTAATTGGCAACTGCTTGTGAAAAACATAAATGTTGGAGTCAGTTTCTCCCGATTTTGAGATAGACAAAAACAATGGTGACATCTGATTCTGACACTTATCCTGCCACAGCTTACATCGCTCAGACTCCTATAAGATTCTGTCCCAAGTTTTGAGTTCTGATTGGAGAATCTGGGCCATGATTCTTAGCTTCATTAATGGATACATTATAAGCACAAAATCAAGGAGGTTATTCTAAACCTGTAAAGAATGTTGATTAGTCCTCAGCTAAAATATTAGAGCACATTCTAACCCCCTAAAATTGATGGTTTAGTTGGTAGATTTGCAGGACTTAAGTTATGGGCTGAATAGACAGCTTGATCATTTAAATGCTATAACAAGTCTGGGACACCTCACATTTCACTTCCCTTACAGATCTAATATTGGCAGGTCAAACCTTAGGGAACCAGCAGCTAAAAGTATGTAAGGATAATTTCGGGGGAAGCAGTGAGAGTCTTTATAGCGTTGCTGCATAGTTCCACACTTTTAGCAGTCACACCCTCCAGAAACTGCTTCCATGGAATTGAACTCCGCTCCTCATTGATTGGTAATAGAATAATTGCCCCTTTATCCCACTCTGTCCAGGCCTACATCACATCCTCACAATGCTTTGACTAGCAGCTTCAGGCTCCTTACCTGGGACTGTGGTCTTCTCCAAACTGTTATCTCTTTGATTAGAAGCAAAGTCTATAAACCAGGTTGACTTCCAGACTGGAATCACTTCGGAAATGTTTTGCTTACAATTAAATTCTACAGCACAGGGGAAAGCTAGTCTCTGTTCCAAAAACTGTCTCCCACTCAGAAAAACTACATCTGTCAATATTGGGTCATGATCTTATTCTGGGCATTACTCTTTTAGGTAGCTCATCAAGGCACTGCAGTGCTGCGCAATAGTGTTAAAGGGATGACGGACCTCAGTTATATGGAAATCCTGGAGAAAATAAGGTTTTTTTCTCTTTAGAGCAGAGAAGCATGATGACAAAATCATGAATCATGGCCATAGAGGAAAAGCAAGGTATAGAGTTAATCAGATGACTCTACCAAAGGACTGCCACAAATAGAATTGACTGAATGGCCTCCTTTTGTGATATATAATCACTTAATTCTAAGTTGATGAGCATTTGATGCAATGAGTAACTCGTATTTAAAATCACTCAAACATGAAGCCACTTATGAATACCATTTTTTGTTCTAATTCTACAAATTGTACAGTTTGAACTGGTGTGTGCTGATTCCTGGAAACTGGATCTATCTCAAGCTTGCCTAAACCTGGGATTTACACTCGGAACAGTAATCATGGGTTATGCAGCAGACAGGTATGCATAATATCATCTACCAATCAAAGGTTTGTAATGTAAAGTGGAGTGGAGGAACACATCAGGCCAGGCAGCATCATAGGAGCAGGAAAGTTTACGTTTCAGGTGGGACCCATCTTCAGAAATGGGGACGGGAAGGGGAGCTCAGAAATAAATAGAGAGAGGAGGAGTGGGGCTGGGGAAGGTAGGTGGGATGGTGATAGGTGAGTGCAGGTAGGGAGTGGTGGGGATTGGTCAGTGAGGTGGGAGGGGCTGATAAGTGGGAGAGAAGATGGACAGGTTGTGTCAGGTCAAGGAGGCGGGGATGAGAGGGAGGGTTGGTCATGGGATGAGGCCGGGGGGTGGGGAGATTTTGAAACATTTAGGCCATTGTGCTGTAGGCTTCCGAGGTGGAATATGAGTTGCTGTTCTTCCAGTTTGCGGGCAGCGTCATTGTGACACTGGAGCAGGCCTGGGATGTCACTCGGGTAGTGGGAGGGGGAATTGAAATGGTTCGTGACGGAAGGTATTGTCGTTTGTTGCGAACCGAGCGCAGGTACACTACAAAATGGTCTCCAAGCCTCTGCTTGGTCTCACTGATGTAGAGGAGGCCACATTGGGAGCAGCGGATGCAGTACAACACGTTGATGGATGTGCAGGTGAACTCTGTCTGATGTGAAGGGTTTGTTTGGTGCTTTGGATGGAGGTGAGGGGGGAGGTGTAGCACTTCTTGCGGTTGCAGGGCAAGTGCCGGGGGTGGTGGGGTTAGTGGGGAGTGTGGAGCAGACGAGGGAGTTGTAGAGAGAGTGGTCCCTACAAAAGGCAGATAGCGATGGGGAGGGAAATATCTCCTTGGTTGTGGGGTCAGATTGTAGGTGGTGGAAGTGGAGGAGAATGATACATTGAATACAGAAGTTAGTGGGGTGATATGTGAGGACAAGGGGGATTCTGTTTTTAGTTGGGTGGGGGGAGGGGATGTGAGGGCAGAGGTGTGGGAAACACGAGATGCAATTGAGGGCATTTTTGATCACCGAAGGGAGGAAGTTGCGGTCCTTGAAATAGGAGGGCATCTGGGATGTGCGGGAGTGGAACACCCACTGTGCCCCTGTGCCCACACATCAATGAATTCCATTCACATTTGGACGTCAAACACCTTTTCCACTGCCTCCGCCTCTGCGCCTATTTCTTTAAGGCATGGCTAACTCCCCCTCTACTGACCCCCTTCTCTCACCTCCAACACACGCCATCCTGCTGGACACCACCCCAAGGCATTCTACCCTCCCTAGACCTCTACATCTCCAACTGCCATCGCGACATCGATCGCCTCAACCTCTCCACTCCTCTCACTCACTCCAACATCTCCCCCACAGAACGTGCAGCCCTCCGCTCCAACCCTAACCTCACCACTAAACCCGTGGACAAGGGAGGTGCAGTAGTGATATGGCGCACTGACTTTTACATCGCTGAGGGCAGGCGCCAACTCTCTGATACCTCATCCTACCGCCACCTCGATCATGTCCCCACCCCTGACCACTGAACCATCACCCCTCAAACCATTCACATTCTCATCACCTCAGGTGACCTCCCACGAACTGCCTCCAACCTCATCATTCCCCAACCCTGCACCGCCCGTTTCTATCTCCTTCCCAAAATCCACAAACCTGACTGCCCTGGCCGACCCACTGTCTCTGCCTGCTCCTGCCCCACTGAACTTATCTCCGTATACCTTGACTCTGTTTTCTCCCTCCTGGTCTAGGAACTCTCCACCTACGTCCGTGACACCATCCATGCCCACCACCTCCTCCAAGACTTCCAATTCCCTGGCCTCCAACACCTCATCCTCACTACGGACATCCAATCCCTCTACACTTGTAACCCCCGCTCAGATGGCCTAAAAGCCCTCCACTTCTTCCTCTCCCACAGGCCCAACCGGTCCCCCTCCACTGACCCCCTTGTCCGCCTAACCAAACTCGTCCTTACCCTTAACAACTTCTCCTTTAACTCCTCCCACTTCCTACAGACTAGGGGGTGGCCATGGGAACCTGCATGGGCCCAAGCTATGCCTGCCTCTTCTTCGGATACGTGGAACAGTCCCTCTTCTGCAGCTACACTGGCCCCATCCCCCACCTCTTCCTCCGTTACATCAATGACTGTATCAGCGCCACCTCGTGCTCCCATGAGGAACTAGAACAGTTCATCAGCTTTACTAACACCTTTCACCCCAACCTCAAATTCACCTGGACCACCTCCGATACCTCCCTCTCCTTCCTGGACCTCTCTGTCTCCATCTCGTGACCGCCTCGAAACCGACATCTATTTCAAGCCCACCGACTCCCACAGCTACCTGGACTACTACACCTCTCACCCGCCTTTCTGCAAGAATGTGATTCCCTATTCCCTATTCCATATTCCCAATTCCTCCACCCCCACCACATCTGCTCCCAAGATGGGGCTTTCCACTCCTGCACATCCCAGACATCCTCCTATTTCAAGGACTGCAACTTCCCCCCTTCGTTGGTTGAAAATGCCGTCAACCGCATCTCCTGCGTTTCCCGCACCTCTGCCCTCACATCCCCTCCCCCCAACAAAAACAAAGACAGAATCCCCCTTGTCCTCACATATCTCTCCTCCAACCTCCACATCCAACCTATCATTCTCCGCCACTTCTGCCAACTAGAATCGACCCCACAACCAAAGATCTATATTTCCTTGCCCCCATCTGCCTTTCGTAGGGACCGCTCTCTCCACGACTCCCTTGTCCACTGCACACTCCCCAGCACCTTTCCCTGCAACTGCAGGAAGTGTTACACCTGCCCCTGCTCCTCCCACCTCCATTCAAGGCACCAAACAAACATTCCACATTAGACAGGGGTTCACCTGCACATCCATCAATGTGGTCTACTGCATCCTCTGCTCCCGATGTTGCCGCCTCTGCATCGGTGAGACCAAGCGTAGACTCTGAGACCGTTTTGTAGAGCATCTGCACTCTGTTTGTGACAAACGACAACACCTTCCAGTCGCGAACCATCTCAACTCCACCTCCCCCACTCCCTGGGTGACATGTCCATCCTGGGCCTTCTCCAGTGTCACAATGACATCACCTGCAAACTGGAGGAGCAACACTTCATATTCTGCCTTGGGAGCCTACAGCACAATGGCCTAAAAGTGGATTTTACCAGTTTCAAAATCTCCTCATCCCATGACCAACCCTCCCTCTCATCCGGCCTCCTTGACCTGACACAACCTGTCCACCTTCTCTCCCACCTATCCGCTCCTCCCACCTCACTGACCAATTCCCACCATTCCCTACCTGCACTCACCTATCACCATCCCACCTACCTTCCCCAGCCCCACCCTCCTCTCTCTATTTATTTCTGAGCTCCCTTCCCCCTCCTCATTTTTGAAGAAGGGTCTGACCTGAAACGTCAACTTTCCTGCTCCTCTGATGCTGTCTGGCCTGCTGTGTTCCTTCAGCTCCACACTGTATTGTCTTTGACTCCAGCATCGGCAGTTCTCACTATCTCTTTGTAATGTAATGGCAATTTTCTCATATTATTTAATTACAAAATTAATTTCCTTGTAGGTTTGGTAGAAAATTGAGCTTCTTGTTTGCAACATTTGTAACTTCAGTTCTGGGACTTGTAGTACCATTCTTGCCAAACTACAGTTGGTTTTTGACTTTCCGAACATTGCAAGGCTTGTTCAGCAAAGGAAGTTGGGTGTGCGCATATGTCTTCAGTAAGAACTTTATTTCTACCTCAATGTTAATAACATGATCAACATTTAATACAATAATAGTTACCGTAGTGCTATATTTTGCTTTAGTACAAAATATGCCAATTAAATTAGCTAACATTGTTTTAATAATTTCTAACATATAAACCTTCATTATGGTATCTATAATTTTGTATTAATGCATTGTAAATTTTTGTAGTTATTAACAGCTTTTATCTTTAGCCAATAATTTTTTTCTGCTGTGATGATATTTTTACTAATATATTGCAGTAACTAAAAATGCAAAGTCCTCTTCAGTAATACCACTTATGAAATTGTAACAGTAGGAGGGAATTTGATTAGCTCTAGTTATATAAGAGCATAAGTTCGTAAGAAATTGGAATGGGAGTAGTCATTTGGCTATTCAATAGGATCATGGCTGATCCAGTAATCCTCATGTACACTTTCCTTGTAACCCTTCATTGTTCTACTGATCGAGAATCTATCTATCTCGACCTTAAATATACACACGGACTCTGCCCCCACAGCTCTCTTGGCAGTTCCAAAGACTCGCAACTTTCTGAGAGAAGAAATTCCTCCTCACCTCAATCTTAAATTGGTGCCCCTTTATTCTGAGACAATGCCCTCTGGTCCTAGACTCTCCAATGAGGTGAAACATCCTCTCGGCAATTATCCTGTCAAACCCCATAAGAATCCTACATGGTTCAATGAAATCACCTCTCATTCTTCGAAACTCTAGTGGGTAGAGTTCCAATCTGTTTAGCCTTTTGCTCCGTAAGAGAACCCCACCATACTAGGGATCATTCTAGTGAAACTTCTCTGAACTGCTTCCAATGAAATGATATCAATTTTAAAGAAGAGAGCCAAAACTGCTCCCAGCACTTCAGATGTGGTCTCACCGGCACTCTGGATAGTGGCAATAAGACTTTCTTATTCTTACACTCCAACCCCCTTGAAATAAAGGCCAATATTCCATTAGCCTGCCTGATTACCTGCTGCACCTGTAGACTAGCTTTGTGTTTTGTGCACAAGTGCACCCAAGTCCCTTCGTATTCCAGCTTTCTGCATTTTTCTCAACTTAAATAATATTCCGTTCTTTTGTCCTCTCTTCGAAATTGAACAACTTTGTACTTTACCACATTATACTCCATTTAGCAACTTTTTGCACACTTACTTGACTTACTAGTATCTCTCCATAAACTAGTAGTACTGCCTTTCCACCTATTTTTGTGTCATCTGCAAATTTGCTAGCAGTACATTCACTTCTTTCATCCAAGTCATTAATATACATTGTAAACAGTTGTGGTCCCAGCTGGATCCCTATGGAACCACTGGTCATGGGTTGCCGATCTGAAAAAGAACCCCATATCCTCAGTAACGTTTCCTGCCCATGAGCTAATTGTCACTCCAGATTTTTTTAAAATGATAAAGTTATGTTAATATGAAACTAACGTTCTGGAAATGTAATGGCAATTGCCAACACACAATAGTTTCCTGTGTCTGGAATCAAAATGCCATCTAAGTATCAGAAGACTGTGTGCCTGAGTTTGGGCTGTAGAGTGTAATGGTTCTTGAGCAAAACTTGTTTGTTACAGCATGCTAAATAACATCAGAGAAATAATCAGATGTTCCATTCATGCTCTTTGTGATAAAAGTGAGGTTGTGTTTCTGGCCCATGTTCCTATCTAGATAGCTCCACAAATTAATACCTAGGTTGGTAAAATAATTCAAGATGACAGGTTTGGTCTGGTTTTCTAACTTACTGAAGCTTTATTTTGTAGTACAGTGGAATCAGCTTCATTTGGTTCCTTAGTGCAGGTAATAGAATATTGAATCTTTGGTGCATTCTCTTTTACCACAAAGCATTGACATATCATTGATTTGTTAGCTAATATTTTGTTTCAGTTACAGAACTTGTTGGACTACAGTACAGAAGAACAGTGGGTGTTTTATATCAAGTGTGTTACAGTTCTGGGATGATGCTACTTTCAGCTGTGGCTTATTTTATACCAGACTGGAGAAATCTGCAACTGGCAACCACCATTCCAAACTTTTTCTTCCTGACCTACTACTGGTAACATCTGTAAAGATTACCATTATCTGAGTCAAGAGCTAAAGTGTTTCAGGCTTAACAATAAACTAGATGCATTCTATTTGCAGGTTGATCCCAGAGTCTCCCAGGTGGATGCTGTCTCAAAAGAAGAATACTGAAGCCCTGAATGTTATACAGCAAATGGCAAAAAGAAATGGGAAAAGTTTTTCAAACAAAATTGAGGTGATTATTATGAATATCTTGCCACAAATTGTTAAACATGAAATAGACTTTTCAAAGATTTGTTTACCTGAGTGTATGGCTGGGGAAATGTATCTTCAGCGAATATAAAATCCTTTGAGTATACATAGTATCTGATATGAACTCCACATTCTTTGTAGGGATACTCATTTTTTTTTCCATCAGTTCAGACAGCTTGGATGTGGATTTGCAACATGCAAACATTAAGGACCCCCCAGTGGTACATTGAGAAAATGCTAGACTTCAAATAGCTAAAGCCACTCACTGAAGAACTGATGGGCTTCTCCACCTTAGTCCAACCAGTACCATCCTTCTGGTTATAGCAGTGACTTGGAGCCTAAAAGGAATAATTACAGTTTCCAGGTTTTGTAATCAGACTGCTAATTTGACTGTCTAATCAAGTCTTCTTGAACCAGTCTGATTCAGCTTTTGATTTACAGAGCACATCATGAAAGGTTTCACGTGGCTTGGAATGACCTCCAAAAGACACGTTATCATTGAGGTTCCTCAACCCTAATAAAAACCATTTTCTCACTGATCCCAAGGGATGATGGTCACTCATTGATAATTAGATTGTTGGCAGGGTTAAGTCTAAACATTTACCAGATACACATCAGGTAACAGAAACTTCACATGAGATGCCAGGTAAGTGACCTAACTCATGTCAAGATGTGAGAGCAAGATAACACCACTGAGAAGACCGTGGCATTAATGCTCACCAATCCTCTTTTTTTTAAGAACAGCATTTCTTGTAAGATTGACAATTTCATCAGTACTTTGAATGATACACCACTGCAGCAATGGATAATTACAGAGAAACATCACTATTCTTCAGGCATACATCAAAAATCTATGACACAAAGGAAGTGATTTGGCCCGTTATTTCTGTGCCGTCTGTAAAAGAGCTATCCATTCCAATCACACTTTCCAGCTGTTGGTCCATAACCATGTAGCTTGTACCAATGTGAGTGCATATCCAAGTAATTTTACATGTGGCAAATTTCTGCCTCTACCAATCATTTTAGGCAGTGAGTTCCAGATCCTAATCACCCTTTCAATGAAATCACTTTTCCTTTCGTTGATGGAATCAAGATTTCTTTAAAGTATGATACAGTGAATCTTCAGCACTTTGCTGACTAATTGATTTGAGATTGTTAAAGGGCAGGTTTTTCAAATTCTTTTAGAGATAACATCAACTCTTTTCAAAATTTGTGTTATAATGACTAATCAATGCACTTTGTTGTGGGATCATGTTCAAATAATGATTGAAATTGGTGAGCAGTGAAAATAGCCTCTTTACTTAACATCCACAGTAGCACTCGAGGCGGCGATGGAATCCCAAGTACAGTTTTACAGTAGCCTCTGTATATGCAATACTTAGATACATTAAAATTCTAGCACTATAGTGTTACATAGTTGTATCTATTGTACACAAAAGTTTGCACATTTAAATGCTGGCTGTTACTTCTGATGGGAATGGAGTGTCTTTCCAGTCTGCTTGCATAATTAGGAGGTGTTGGTCCTTTTATCTTCTAAGTTAGTAAATGTTACTAAAAATACTAGACCTATATGATCTAAGTAAGTTATAAATTATGCATGTACTTAATAAAAATATAGAGGATAGTAAACTGATTACTACAGCTGGGTCATGAGATTTTATTTACTATTAGCAGTTTGACAGTCCTTCACTCATTCATTCATGCGGTTTCACAGAAGCACTGTTTTGATAGAAACTTTCTTAAAAGGGGGATAGCGGCCCTATTTAATACGTATTTAACAGATATGTGCTAGTGGAGGAAACTTGTTTGATGTTCCGCAACCTATTCAAGTCCCGGGAGATGGTTGCTAAGGGGCTGATTAATATTGTAATCTTTCCATAGTTTCGGGTGAGTCAGGAGACACGATGGCAGGAATGGCATTGTTCTGAATAGGTTATAATATTAGCACTTATTCAGGGGTAGCCTTTGATATAGAAACAGATCTAAATACTGTTTGCAGCATGGAGTCGATAAGAATTGAAAGGTGTAAAGAAGCAGTAATAGGTTGGAAGGGATGTTTTAATTTAGTCTCTCTTGTAATAGTAAAATGTACTACAAAATCACCGGTTTTATGAATGAATGAATGAAACGTGGTACAGTAAACATAGTGCACTGGTGAGTAGTTAGTAAAAGACTTATAAATGAATGAGAACGTGGTATTAGTAAATATAGAGTGCTTGTGAAGAGAGCTATAATACAATATATCGCATTGTCTTCTTGGTCAGTAATTGGTCAGTATTATAGTCTGGTAACAGTCAGAACAGCCCTAGGCACATTGTTTTCTATTGGTTGGCACTTTTGTTAATTGAAGATTTGTAGATTGAGGCATGACTTTCTTCTTCCACAGATAGTTGAAGAATGCAGTGAGGACTTAGATCGTCCTTCCTTTGTCGAGCTGGTACGGACTCCTCAGATGAGGAAACACACCTTTATCTTGATGTTTAACTGGTGAGATTTTATTTCTATAAATATTTGATTTTAGGACACTCCTGGAGAAAATAAACTGCTCTATAAAATACATGCAATGTATTTGAAGAATGAAGAACCAATATTAAGAATGTGAAAATGTTTGATTTTAAAAGAAAACCTATCATGTTCATTTAGCATTTCTCTCCACACCTAGATACATTATACTCATCATTGAAGTTTCACAACTGATTTAAGGTGGACCTTTGAATTGCTCAAATTTAGAAACATAGAAACTTAGCAACATAGAAAATAAATGCAAGAGTAGGCCATTTGGCCCTTCAAGTCTGCACCACCATTCAATGAGATCATGGCCGATTATACAATTGCAGCATTTCATTCCCGCTTTCTCTCCATACTCCTTGATCCCTTTAGCCGCAAGGGCCATGTCCAGCTCCATCTTGAATATGTCTAATCATCTGGCCCCAACAGCTTCCTGTGGGAAAGAATTCCACAGGTTCACAACTCCGAGTGAAGAAATTCTTCCTCATCTCAGACCTGAATAGCTTACCCTTATTATTAGGCTGTGACCCCTAGTTCTAGACTTCCCCACTGTCAGAAACATTCTTCCTGCATCTAGCCTGTCAAGTCCCATTAGCATTTTATATGTTTCTATGAGATTCCACTTCATTCTTCAAAATTCCAGCAAGTACAAGTCCAGTCGATCCAGTCTTTACTCATGTGTCAGTCCTGTCATGCCGGGAATCAGTTCTTTGCTGGACTCCCTCAGTAGCAAGAATGTCCTTCCTTAGACAAGGAGACCAAAACTGCACACAATACTCAAGGTGCGGCCTGTATAACTGCAGCAAGATATCCTTACTCTGATACTCAAATCCTCTCGCTATAAAGGCCAGCACGCCATTAACTTTCCTCACCACCTGCTACACCTGCATGCCAAATTTCAATGTAGATATAAAAACATTTTTTTCTATAATAGGTGTTTTGTTAGAATAGATAGGAATAAATTGTCCCTAACAGCAGAGGTATCAGGGAAGATCTATAGGATAGATTTAACATAACCAGTAAAAAAAAATCAAGGCCAAGAATGGTGGAAATGAAGATTTCTTTACTCAGCAAGTTATGATGCCCTAGAATGCATTGGGGGAAGTAGAATGAATTAACTTATCTAATGGGTAAAGTTTTCAGGGCTGTAGGGAAAATCCAGGAAATTGGGACCATATAGTAGCTCTTTCAGAGATCTGGCATCAACGTGATGGGTTAAATGGCCTCCTGTCATGCTGTAAGGTTTCATGTTTCCTACAATATTCAACTTAATTGCATAAATTCCATAAGGATCTTCACTAGCTTCTACAGATCTACAATAGAAAGCATACTATCTGGGTGCATAACGGCCTGGTATGACAACTGCTCTGCCCAGGACCATAAGAAACTACAGAAAATTGTGTGCACAGTCCAGACCATTATGGCAGCCAAACTTCCATCCATGGAATTCCATTTCCAACTCTTGCTGCTGTGGAAAGATTGCCAACATCAAAGACCCCTCCCACCCCAGTAATGCTCTCCTACAACCTCTTCTGTCAGGCAGAAGATACAGAATTTTGAATACACGAATTCAAGAACAGCTTCTTCCCTGATGTTTTAGACTGATGAATGGACACTCTAACTTCAAATAACATTGATCTTGTTAACGTGCTCTTGCTTCCTGCACCTCCTGTGCAGTGTAAGCTGTATGCCTCATGCTGCCTAAGCACCCTATGATCCGTATGTCCTTGCTTACTATGATCTGCCTGTATTGCTCATAAACAAAGCTTTTCACTGTACTTGGGTACACATGACTACAACAAATCAAATCAAGAATATCTGACCATCCAACTCTAGTTATTCTTTGAACTTTCCATCACCTCTGGTTTCCACTTTCAACTTTCCCATTCCTCAGATGCTGATGTTTTGGCATGTGGTTCATCAATATGACTAGCTTCTAGTACAATATCTTATACTAGATGGCAAATCCTGACAGTTACTCATCTTTGGAGATCCCACGGCAACAACCAATAGTGCCCTCACCTGACATACAAATACATGCCATTATAGAAATGGATGTTTTTGGACACGTGTTGATTTCAACTAGGAAGGGTTGGATGAACTAGGAGGTGTAAATAAAAAAATTGAAAAGGTACGTCCTTACACAGAGTCACTGATATTGAACTTAAAGTGAAGCAAGTTTGGATTCACCCCAAGCCTTCAAATAGGGAACTCTGTTTTCCTAAGAGTCAAGAAGATCTCCAGTTACATAAGGAGCTCAGTGGCAGATGTACTTTTGTGGATATTACAGTCGGAAGTCCTTTGTTGTGTGGCCTTATGCCTACACTGCTGCTTGCAATTTAGCTCATCTGGCATCCTGACCAGACCCCCTGAAGTAGGAATTGCTGAAGGGTCTTGTGTGGACATAACTGCAGGAATATATGGGGAAGATACTGTATTTTCTTCTTCATCAATAGCTTCAGGGTTGGGTGATGGTGTTATTTCTCTGACAGAAGAATGATATTGGCTGTTCATTGTTACTTCTTGAGGATATATCACATCTTTTGAGAAGTGACCTCTTTTTCAACAATGAATACATTGTTGAACTAAGTCTGGACAATCTTGCGTAGAACAACATCACTTCATCTGAGGCCTTACTGATGATGTCACCTAGCATGGTGACGAAACGTCTGAACGAAAAAAGAGCCAGCTCGGCAAGCAAGTCAACAACCTCCCCCACAACCTGAGCTACAGAACTTTGCAAAAACCTTAATTGCTGATGTGGGGTTTTGGAGCCACATCTGTCATAAGATACTGTAGCATTATTTTGGATCTTGCATTGAATATGTCAAATATAGTAAGATTTGGGATGAGACTTCTGTGTCCTCTGGTTAAATACTCTATTGTGATTTATGTAGTTAATGTTCAGCATTAAATGGAACCTTTGCTGTATAATGCCTATTGAACAATTTCCTAAACTCTGTATTCAATTCTATTTGGATTGTTCATTCTAGAAATCGATCCTCTCTTGTTTAAAAAATTTCAAATACTGCTTATTCTAAAAGACCAATTAGAATTCTGTTGCAATTGATCTCTCATTGTAAGTTTCTATATTTTAATGATTCAGATAGTACTTACATCCTTAATGAAATTATCTACAAATTTTTCTGAGAGCTGGTTTCTACTACTGAAGCATGATTTTGCCAGTGGCTTATTTGTTCTTTATTTGGTTAATGATTGGTAGGATTTTGGTCTCTTTGTATGACACTCATTTATTATCTTGTATTTTCAGTTGTTGAAAGTTGTTGAATCTTTGTTATGAAGATGCTTGTTGTTATCATATTAAAAGGGAAAGCTTTTGAAGATTCTGTTGTTCTAAATGCTCCTTCAATGTAAAGTTTGCCTTTCCTTTCCACTATGGTGTCTTCACAGAGATGAATAAAATATTTCTTTCCAAAATGGCTGAAGGATTTTCAAAAATATCTGTGGATAGGAACTTTCTCAAGAAAATAGCTTCAATCAATAAGATTCAATGAAAAATTTTTGACAGTATAAATGACGGCTGTCATTGACAATGTTTGCACTGATTTTTTTCACATCTAAGATACTTTCACATTGGCTTTGGTATGTGATCAGAACCGCACTCCCTCTCTTTGTCTCCAATGCCACTTTTTAACAATTAAACTTAACAACACTTCTTAACTGCTGAATAATAATTGTGCTACTCACCCAAACTGTCAAAATAGTAAGGATTTAACTAATAAATCTCTAGGTCTCTGAAACATCTGATTCCAAGAAATTGTACTTATTTATGAATTATTTTTAATCAATGTCTATTCAATCTCTCTTTGAATAATTTTCTTAACTTGCTCATTGACAAATCTGCCATCGAGTAAACAATATAAAGCTGCTAAACACTGACAGATATCTTAATTCTTCCTCTCAGCTTAGTTTTTCAGGGCTTTTTTCCCTCTGCGATTGAATCTGCTTTGCAAGTCCAGTAATTAGTCTCCTTTAATAGGTGCTTGATCTGAATCTATCATCTTGGCTGCTAGTGGGTTTTACTGTTCTCATTGATTTTTATTTTCCCTTAAGTTTGTTTCTCCTACTACTAGCTTTTAAAAATTGGTGACTTCAGTGGCTTCTCTTCTGGAGGTTTCTGTTTCATTCGCCGCAGCTATTCAGCTCAATAGTTCTTCTGGTTTCTCACTGGTCTTAAAGTGTACCAATGGTTTTTTTTTTGGAGAAGTAATTTCTTTTAGTTCTTTGATTCTTTATTGATTTTTAGTCTGTTTCTTGTTCTTCACTAATGTCACGATTTGCAAAGCAGTGGATTCCACTGCTGCCATCATCTTTCATTGCGCAGTTTTCTGCCCACCAAGAGTTAGGTTCAAGACACACTGGTGGAGGAGATGACAAGAACTGTCTTCAGGCTTAGTCTTCTTTGCTTATTGCATGTTAATACTAAACACAATTATTCATGGTGATCTGAGATTTACCAGACTCTAATCTTATCTTTACAGTGTTAAGAGACTATTCATTGAACACAATCTATCTTCTATCTTTGACCTAACCAACTAACTCCGCCCTGATTGTGCTTTTTAATGCCTGTTGTGGTGCAATTTTGTGATATCATCACAAGATTGCTCCAGGGTTCTATTCTAGGACTTCCCAGATATCCTCCAACTTCAGGGACCGTAGTTTCCCCATCTCTGTTATTAAGGATGCCCTCGAATGCAACTCCTCCGTTTCCTGCGTTTCTGCTCTCAGACACTCTCCCTCCAACAACAATAAGGATAGAGTCCTCTTAGTCCTCACGTACCACCTCCACAAACCTCCGAATACAACGCATCCTCCTCTGACATTTCTGCCACGTACAATCAGACCCCACCATCAAAAGATGTATCCCTCCCCACCCTGTCTGCTTTCAGCAGAGACGATTCATTCCGCAACTCCCTCGTCAGCTCCACAATCCCCACCAACCCCTCTTCCAAACCCGGTACCCTTCCCTGCAGCCACAGGAGGTGCAACACTGCCCTTCCACCTCCCCTCTCACCTCCGTCCAAGACCCCAAACAATCCTTCTAAATCTGGCAGAGATTCACCTGCACTTCATCTAACCTCATCTACTGTATCCGTTGCTTCTGATGTGGTCTCCTTTATATCTGGGAGACCAAACGCAGACTTGGGGATCGGTTCACGGAGCATCTCTGCTCTGCACGCGCCAACCAGCCCGACCTTCTTGTTGCTATTCACTTTAACTTGCCCCTCCCACTCTCCTGGTGACATGTCCATTCTTGGCCTCATCCACTCTCAGAGTGAGGCCAAACACAAACTGGAGGAACAACACCTGATATTTCACTTGGGAGCTTACAGCCCAATGGCCTGAATACTGACTTCACCAGTTTTGAAACTTCTCCTCCCTCCACCTGTCCATCTTCTGACTCACCTATCTGTTCCACCCTTTCCACTGGCCAACCACAATAATCCCCTACCTGCATCCATCTATGTCCATCTCACCTTCCCTCCCAGCAGCCCCATGCCCCCTCTATTTATTTGTGAGTTTCCCTCTCCCTCCCCAGTCCTGAAGAAGGGTTCTGACCTAAAACATTGACTTACCTGCTGCTCAGCTGCTGTCTGACCTGCTGTGCTTTTCCAGCTCCCAGCATCTGCTGTCCTTTCTGTCTCCACAACAGAAAGGTTTGTCTTCTTTCACAGATTGTAATAGTGGGGAGGTAAATGGATGATTCACGTTAGTCCAAAAATGTCCAGATGATTCACAGATGTTGATGTAGATGTAGATGTTAATACCATGTCCAAATGGTTCACATTCGATGGACCAGATAATCTTTTCCTGCATTTTGTCATGACCGTTTTTGTCAAGACTGTGGACTATATTATGTGATTATCTTGAAGTTAGCTTTAAGTTCATCTTTAAGATAGCAATGTCAAAGAATTGGCAGTCCTTCATTCAACCTTATTGAATGGACATGTTCTCTGCAGGTATTGTGCTCTGTGAACCTGTTGTTAAGGATAGCTTGAAGCATTCATTGGCTGTTCTCATTCATTCTCTTATCATGATATTCCACAGTGATTCTAGGTCAACAAATGAAGAAAGGATGGCAAAATGTCTACATTTTTGATTTTGTATATTCTTTTGAAATTCAATTTCTAATCATCTCATTCTTGTGTTTCACTCTGACATAGAATGATTAAATGCAGATATTCAATTAAATTATTTCTCCCTATGCAGTTTTCACCTATATGAACAGTGTAATCCGCATTTACAAAATCACTGCCTAAGTGCCTAGTTCTAAGAATTGCAGGATTACACATAACAACCTTATAAACAGGGCACTTGTTTGATTGTCCTTTACCTGCTGATGATTTCCATCAGGACCTGCTGGGTAAATTCCAGCCTGAATATGGATGATTCCAGTTGAGGTTTCTCCAACTTGGTTGCCTGAACACACGTGCAGTAGGAAGGAAATGTTCATATTTTCATTCATCATGATACCAAAATGTTTTTCTTACTGTGACATAATGATCTTAGCAATGACATATAGGCTGCTATCTTAACAATGGCACACAGTCTTCTAGAATGGTCTTGATTCTGTTAAGTTGCCACTGAACTAACTTGTACGCAACTTCATTACAGGTTCGCTATTACATTGGTGTACCAAGGTCTCATCATGCGTTTGGGAACCCTGGGAGGAAATATTTACCTTGACTTCTTCATTTCGGGAGCAGTAGAAATCCCGGCAGCAATTCTCATCCTTTTAACCATTGAGCGGATTGGACGGCGTCTTCCGTTTGCAGCAGGTGGTCTGTTGTCGGGGGGCACTTGTCTAATAGCTGCATTCATACCTGAAAGTAAGTATTATGGTTAGAACTGGGATTCTTATCCAGTCCCAGACTAATGAACTTGATTCTGTGTCTGTCATGTCAATGGGATAAAATGTTACAGCACAGAACAAAGGAATTGAACCCATAATCTCTGTTCCAGACCTCCATAAAAGCTTCTCATTTGTCCTATTACTCTGATTTTTCATCGTCTGTACTTCTTTTATTTTCAAATATTTATCCAATTTCCTTTTGAATGTGGCAATTGAATCTGCTTCTACCACCTTTTTCAGTCAGTGCATTTCAGATCATTGAATAAATTCAAGCGTATGTTAGACAGATTTTAATGATAGATTGAGTCTTGTTTGGCGGACAGGCAAAAATGTTGAGTTAAAGTCACAATCAGATCAACCATAATGTTATCACATGGCAGAGTAGGCTTGATGGCCAAATGTCTCCCTCCTGCTCCTATTTCTTTAACCTTACAATCCTAAAAACTCACTATTTAAAAAAAAACTCCTATTCTCTTCCCTCATGGTTTTCTCAATTATCTTAGCTACTGTGTCCCTGGCTACTGACTGCCCTTCTGATAGAAGCAGATCTTTCCCATTCATTCACTATATTAATAGTTTTCACAATTTCAAACACTTCTATGAAATCTCACACTAAAGTGCTCTACTCAGAGCAGAATTATTCTAACTTCTCCGATTTCTCCACGTGGCCGAAGGTACTCATCTCTGGTCATATTCTGGTGAAGAAACTGACATCAATATGAAATTTACTTGGTTTTAGTAAAGTGCAAAGATGCACCAATGCATTATAACTCAGAACATCAAGATAGAAGGTCATCAGACACACATTTCCTCCATGATTAATTCTTGTTATGCAACTGCAAAAATGGACTGTTGTGTTGTCATGATTACTCTACTGTTTAGAAAACGCAGGGCCCTTTTTGAAGTCAGTAACCAATCCTTTTGGTGTCACAAAATAATTGACGTGCTACTCATGGCCTGTTAAAAGCTGTTCACCTGTCAATTGAGCTCTACTTTGTGTTTTTCCAAACAAACACGGAGATGGTTCTTTCATTACTCCGGTTAGTAACTGCACCAACTTGTACTCACTGCAATCACACAGGGCACATTACCTGCCTGGAACTAGTACCTGTGTAGTTTGACCCAAAGAATAATTGTAACATCTTGTAGAAATGCAATTAGTTCATTTAAATCTCTCAACAACCATAACTAGTTACAAATGATTACTTGATTCTGTTTCTGAAAATACAATATTGCTAAATTGCACTTATATTTTAATTTTCTATTTCAGATATTAGTTGGTTGGCAACCGCAATAGCATTTGTGGGTAAATTAGGAATCACTATGTGCATCGAAATGGTGATATTTGTAAATACTGAACTATACCCAACATTTATAAGGTGTGTACTGAATAGGTGTTCTCTACATTAACAGAAGTTCATCAATGATTCTGAATACAAATATAGCTCTAATTCAGTTATTGACTACACTGAGCATCGACATAGAACTGTACAGCACAGAAACAGGCCCTTTTGCCCATGATGTAGTGCCGAACATGACGCCAAATTAAACTAATCACTTCTGCCCGTCTATGGTTTATATCCCTCATTCCTTGCATATTCGTGTGCTTATCTAAAAGTCCCTTAAACAACCCCATCATATCTGCCTCCATCACCACATTTGACAGTGTTCCAAACTCCTACCATACTCAGTGTAAAATAACTTGCTTCTCACATCTCCTTTGAACTTTACCCCTCTCACCATAAATGCATGCCCCCTAGTATTAGACATTTCAACTCTGGAATAAAGATTCTGACAATACTATCTATGCATCTCATAATTTTATAGCCTTCTATCAAATCTCCCCTCAGCCTTCACTGCTCCAGAGAAAACAAACTGGGTTTTACTAGCTTCTCCTTATAGCTCATACCCTCTAATCCAGGTAGGATCCTGGTAAACCTCTTCTGCATCCTCTCCAAAGCCTCCACATTCTTCCTGTAATGTAGCGACCAGAATTGAACGCAATACTCTGTGTGGCTTAACCTTATACGCCTACAACATGACGTCCTGACTTGTGTACTCAATTCCCTGACCAATAAAGGCAAGCATGCCATATGCCTTCTTTAGCACCCTATCTGTTTGTGTAGCTACTTTCAGGGCGCTATGGACTTGAACCCCAAGATCCCTCTGTACATCAGTGCTGTTCAGGTCCTGCCATTAACTGTATACTTTTCCTTAATATTTGATCTCCCACAGTGCAACACCACACACTTACCCAGATTAAACTCCATCTGCCATTTCTCCACATGTACCTACAACTAATTTATATCCTGCTGTATCCTTTGACAATCTTCAACACTATCCATAGCTCCACTGATCTTTGTATTGTCTTTAAGCTTACTAACCCACCCATCTACATTTTCATCCAAGTCACCTATACATATCACAATTTGCAGCAGTCCCAGTATGGATCCCTCTGGAACACCACTAATCACAGGCCCCCAGCCAGAAAATCATCCTTGAACCACTACACTCTGCCTTCTATGGGCAAGCCAATTGTGAATCCTTGCAGCCACCATGTGTCCCATACATCTTAATCTTCTGGATTATCTGTGTAAGGGATCCATTTTCTTGAACTATATTGTAATAGCAAAATCTGATTTGTTGGAAATACTTAGTGTTTGTGAAATGGGAATCTAATTTCTGTGCCAGTAAACAACATTTTTTTAAAAACAGGAACCTTGGTGTTTCAGTGTGCTCGTCACTGTGTGACATTGGAGGGATTGCTGCCCCATTCATTGTATACCGACTGTCAGGAATCTGGAAGGGGTTGCCTCTTCTGGTTTTAGGTGAGAATTTTATATTTAATGTAATGCAGTCAACTAATTTAATGCTGTGCTTTTATCATTACTTTCACATCTATATCCCTGCACCTAATTCTAATTTTCAAAAGTTTCAATATGTCTAAATGGATAAAGAGGCCAGATTTCAATCCGCTGAAAAGAAAACTCTTCAGTCAATTTCTGTAAGAATTCCCATCCTCAAGAAAAAGACCAATTCTTCTACTTACTTCCTCCTCCAAATTGTTCCAGTAACTATGTTAATGATACATTAACCCTCCATCACATAAATTATCTATCTCACAAACACACTATTTAAAGGGAACATGACAAAATTTGTCAATAATTTAACTTGCCATCTTTCCATACCTGAGTGGTTTGGTTGTACAACCCTGCCTCTGTCAGAAGCCTCATATCTGCACGCTGTCTCACTCACAACAGTTGAACTTTTTGAGAAGATCGCTAGCATGGTGAATAGTGGAGCATTTCTGAATGTCTATATGGTCTTTGAGAGGCATTTCATAAGGTTGACACAGGATTCTTAACAAATATAAAAGTGCATAAATTAGAGGTAACATTGTGACATGTTAATTTTTTTTTGGGAAGCAGGGCAGTAAAGAGATGTAGAAAACATATTCTCATTGGCGGTATGTGACGAGTAACGTTCTCAGGGTTGTGAGCCAGTGCCAGGTGTTTGAATTCCCAAAAGAAGTTCGCTACTCTGAGCTTTGTCACAACAAGTGCTTACCAGGAGGTCAGAGGAAATATGTCAAGGACGTCCTTAAGTCTTCCTTATAAAAAAAAATGCAACATCCCCTCTAACTTGTGGGAATACCTTTCCCAAGGTTGCCCAAATATGTGGGAGAAGCATCCATGAAGATGCAACCATCTTGAGCTTCCTGGTAGTCCCAAGTAGAGAACAAGCATAAACCGCAGATACAGCAGCTGAAAATTTGAACATCCTTTTCAATTGTCTCTTCAAACATCACCTGTCCCATCAGTGGTAGGGTGTGCGGATCCAGCAATAGACTGTTTACTCATCTCATGACCCAGAACACTGGAGTAGAATAAAAGTCTTCCTTGCTCCTGAAGGACTGCCTAAGGGGAAGAGAATGGAGCCTCAGCTTTTTGTCATTTATACTAAATGATTTAGATGAAAGAATAGAAAGTTGATGTCAAAATTTGAAGATGGGCTTGGAAGGTACTGTGTGTTTTACTACTGGTAGCAGAAACTTTGGAAGGGATATAATGGTGGCAGGTGATGTTTAGTATTAGAGAAATGTGGTCACTTGTTTTGTATCAATAAAAGATTTAATTGTTTGTTACTTAATGGTGAGAGACCAGAAACTATAGAGGAGCTATACATTCTTAAAGTGCAGTACTACAAAAAGTGATCAAAAAACTTGTGGAATATTGATTTCTGTCTCAAGGCATTGGAATGCAAAGGTGAGGACCATTTTCTGGGTTGTGCAGAGCCTTAGTGACACTCCATCTGGAGTACTGTGTTCAGTTTGGGCACCAAATCAAAGGAAGGATATACTAAATAATCTTTGTTTTTGTTCCTGATTTACAGCATCCGCATTTCTTTTGGTTTATATTAAATAATTGCTTTTTTGAAAGGTCATTCTGGCAACAGGCTCCGAATTGTGATAATGATACAACTAAACCAAGTAATTGTAATAAAGTAAAGTAAAACAAAATAAAGTAAGAGAGACATCTGGTGGTGGTTTTACTTGAGGGTGACCACACCTCAGGCAAAGGGAGAGATTGAAAGTTCTTCATTGTAACTTCAGCTGGTATGGGAATTGAACCCACACTGTTGGCATCATTCTGCATAGCAAACCAGCTGTTCAGCCAATGAAGCTAACTGACCCCTGTAACTCCTAATGTAATTATAGATGAAAATTATGAAATAAAAATCGGATTGCACAATTATGAGCAATTCAGTGTACAAATAATTACAATGTTACAAAGTGCATGTCTCCTAAATTTACAGAATACAACTGAGAGGTCAACTGCACTCAATATTTTGCATTAAAACCAATGATCATATGTTATCAGGTTAGATTTATTAAGTTCTCAATCATTTACATGACATTCTATAAGAGAAATGAAGCAAGAGCCAAGTTTGTGGCCACAAGCTGCACAGGTTGGTGAGATGAGGTGTACAAGGGCAACTGTAATGGGTAAATCAATAATTAGGGGAATAACAGTCATTTCTGTGGCCATTGACCTGACCCAAATGCGGTATGTTGCCACCCTGGTGTCTTGGTCAAGGATGTCACGGAGCAGCTGGCAGAGGGTGAAGACATAGAAGTCATAGACGACAATGAAAATAATAAGGATAATCAGCTATGATTCAACCGAATGACAGAGCAGGCTTGAGTGGCCAAATGGCCTACCCCTGTTCCTGTTTCTTATGGTCTCCTGAAGAGGAAATACAGGAGAGACAAGATTCCTCTGAGCAGGAAGGTAAGGGTTATATTATGGCGCAAGAGGAAGAAAACACAATGGACCAGAGAAGCCAAGAGGGCAGAGACAAACCCAATAACTAGATGTTTCCAGGGTTATTGAACTAATTGGAGACTTCCAACTTGCAAATTGTAATGCCATTTCAGCAGTTGGCATCCAATGTCGTGTCTTACCCATTTTGAACTCGGACACTGACTGCTTCAGTGTCTAAGTTCAAAATGAGTAAGACACAACATTTGATGCCAACTGCTCAAATGGCATTAGAATTTGTAGGTAGGAAGTCTCTAACCAGTTCAATAACTGAAGCAATCAGTGTCCATATACAGCAAGACCTAGACAACATTCAGGTTTTGGTTGATAAGTGGCAACTAACAAATGCACCACACAAGTACCAGGCAATGACCATCTTCAACAAGAAAGAATCTAACTATTACCCCTTGACATTCAATGATACTGCCATTGCTAAATCCCCCACTATTAAGGTCCTAGGGATTACCATTGACCTGAAGTTTAAAATATAAATACGGTGGCTACGACGGCAGGTCAGACAAAGGCAGCTGAGGCACAGGAATTCTACCACCTTCGATTTCCCCTCCGAACACACCATCCCGACTTGGAACTATATTACCATTATCTGACTGTCATTGGGTCAAAACTTTGAAACTTCCTTCTTAACAGCACTGTGGGTGGCTCTATAACCAATGGACTGCAGTGATTTCATGTAGTTTACTTCACCTTCTGCATTGCAATTAAGAATGGATAGTAAATGTCAATGATGCCCCATATCTCATGAACAAATTCTTTAAAACAACTGTTTTAGTTGGTGTTGCAGTTTATTACTTTTGTCTCCAAAAAAAGGTCAATTCTTGTTACTTGTTTTCTTTGTGTACTTATTTAGTTCAGAGTGTTGAGCAAAAGTAAATATTCACATATGGATTGGCCATTGGCGATCTCAATAAATTAAATGTTGCAGCGTTCCTTTGAGAGGGACAGAAACAGGACAAACCATTCTCTTGTGAAATGTGTGGAATCATCACACAAATTGCTATCTCTCCCTTAAGGTGAGTGTGAGAGGTGAACTATGAGAGAATAATCAGTGTTTGAAGCTTGTAATGTATTGCATCCTTTTGATGTTTGAAGATGCTTCACATATGTCAGATACAGGAACTTAAAACAGTCCTTTGGTACAAGAAAACTGCAGCACATGTTACAACAGTGCATGTGAATATATATTTACAGAAGGAGTGTATTTGAAAATTGGTTGCGTATCCATGCCCCTGATATGCCCTCTGTATTGTCCTTCTTTATTGCCTGCTACACATAGGTGCAGATCTATTCTGCTGCTGGGATGGAAGGACCCTGCTGTGTGGAACACCCTGGTGACTTTGAATACTTGAGTAGTCATTCCCTAATGTCTAGAGGACCCAGGCTGCTGTGAGTCTCCTGTCCAAATGTAGGCTCACCCTCCTCAGCTTGAACATTTATAGGCATAGGAGTCACAGACAATGGGGTGGTGGAGGACCAGAACGCCTCTGGAATGTCTTAAGAACAAACTACTGGAATGTCTGTATGTGTCCCTGTGGGGGCCCCCTGGCATTATACTCCCTTCTCAATAAGAAGGAGCATCTGGAATGAAATTGAAGTGTCATGTCCTCCTCTGGCATCGCTACTGATGCTAGTGCAGGTCCAAGAGCAAATCTGGTGGCCACTGAGCATTTTGCTGGACCTGGAGGTCTAAGGCAGGGATAGGTGATTTCTCTGTGCTGGTAGAGGGTGTAGGTGAATGCTTGTCAATACTTACCATGAGGCTTCCATCTCTTCATCTTCTGAGGTGGTGCCGGTGAGGAGGAGTTCAGGTGGTGGGCCCTTACTTGTGGAGATTCCCAGGCTGCCATTAGTGTCTACATAACAAAAGTGGGTATTAGTTGGTGAGCCTGGATAGCCATTGATGTAGAGTAAAATGCCAGTCCAGGAACTGCAGGGCACTATTTTGCTCACTGTGTAAGTGGTCATCCGGTATCCCTGTCACCATAGCAGCAGTACTAGTTTTCCCTCGGTTGTTTGACAATTTTTTTTCCTCAAAGGGGCTGAGAAGCTTGATGTCTGCCAACTTCCTGTTGGTCTTCAACCTCGTGGCCCTGTTGTGTGCCAGATTTCCCTGAAATGAGACAGTGAAAGCTTGGGTATGATGGAATGGGTGCAGGAGCAATTTGTAACCAAACATAGTTGTGCAGGATGGTAAAGTGATCCAAGCAAGTAGGAAACATTGAGGGCAGGAAGGATTGGTAGTTTGAGAGGATGAGATGGGTGTAAGCCCTTAAGTGGACATGATGTATGTGATCGAAGATTTACAATCGAGCATCCTTGATGAGATGTATTGCTAGTGGCAGATCTAGACTGCGTGATGGCCCTAGAGCTTGAGATCACACAGAGAAGATGGTTACCCTTGCAGTATGCAGCAGATCATTCACCTCCTTTTGGCATTGTTGCTCATCCCATTTTATTGCAGTCATATCACTGGCCTGCATTAAAATTTCTTCTCAGGCTGTGTGGGTCTGATGGATTGGCTTCCTAGTGTGGTCAGTCAGGAGAGGGCCAACTTCCTCTTGACTGACTCTGTTGAACAGCGCCTCCAGGGCAGTATGGCCACCTTTAGAGCCATTCCTAGGCCCAATCACTACAGACTGAGGGGCAGGTGCTGGCTTCCAGTGGGGTCCAACTGGGTTTAAATATGGCACAGAGCCTTCAAACCCTGAAGATTTTGTCAGTGGAGAGAACTTTTGGCTCTGCACAACATCTTATTTGCATAGATAAATAAAATAAGAAGTATATGATTGCAAGAGATACATTGATTTGGCTGATGGCAAAGACTATGCATTCCAACATGCTTACCACCATTCTTTAGCTTTAAATGAGAAAATGTTGCCCATTGTTACTGAGGCCATAAGGGACATCTCAATGTTAGCTCTTGCTCCTTCAAGATCCTCAGCTGTTCTCCCACCTGGTCCATGTGACATCATGTCGGACAGTGTTTTATGTACTCTTCAGCATTAACCCATTTAGACTGTTACAGAACCTTGCGCACATATCGAGCATTTTCCCCAAGAGATCCAATTCTAGTGGCATAAAAAATACTCTGTGCATCAGCTGAAGTTGTTGGATAGATTGTTTAACTCAACATTGAACTTCAATGGCTTTCCCAGCCATATGAACTTACTTATGCCACAAGTGGAAATAAACTGTTTTTCCTGACATTCTTCCTGCATCTAAGGCCCAAATCTTAAACCACTTTTCTATAGTCCTTCGACTATCATAGAGTTATACAACACACAAACAAATCCTTTGGTTTAACCAGTCCATGATAAACATAATCCCAAACCAAACTAGATCCACCTGCCTGCTCCTGGCCCATTTCCCTCCAAATCTTTCCTATTCATGTACTTAACTAAATGTTTTTTCAACATTGTAACTGTACCCACCACTTCCTCAGGAAGTTCATTCCATGTTTCAAGCTTTTTCACTTCTAATGAAGGAGCATCAAACTAAAGTGTGAATGGTTTTTCTCTCTCTCTCAATGTCACCTGACAAATTAGTATATTCAGCATCTGTTATTTCTATCTATTCAACAGGAGCCAGGGAACTGCCTTCTCATGCCACTCCTGTGCCAATACTTTTAGTGTCTCCCAAGAATCTCTCCTGGGTCTCACCCGATTTTTCATCCAAGTGCAGCCGATCAGTGACATCATTTAAAAAAAAATCAGACTCCACAGCTACGCAGGCAATAGCCACTGCTATCTCCATCAATCCCTCTACTACCTTTGATTTGTTACGATGCTTGTCCAACAGTCAGTACTAGATGACACAAATTTGCTGTAATTAAATATCGGGTAGACAAAACTAATAGTCCGCACTACAAACTCTCCAATCACCAATTTCATTCCTTACCCTAGTAACTCTGAGGCTAAAAACAGACCAATTAAAACTCTGGTGACCCTGAACCAAGAGACTCTGTATTCGAATAAAGCTAACCACTTGGGACTGAAATAAGACAGAATTTCTTCACTGAGAGGGTGGAGAATCTTTGGAATTTTCTATCCTAGAGGGCTATTAAAGCTCATTCTTTGAGGTAGTTGAAGATAGAAATTGATAGATTTTTAGATAGTATGACATCAAGGGATGTGCAGATAGTGTGAGAAAACGTCTTTGAAGTAGATCAGCCATAATCTATAATGGTAGAGCAGGCTTGAGGGGCACAATTGACTTACTCTTCCTCCTATGTTCCTAAGCTGAACTTTGGATCTCCTACCCTCTGCCTACTTCTGCCTACCGAACATTGCCTGTCCACACTTTGTTTCAGTTCATCAATTGTTGAAAACCTCAAACAGGCCATTGTTATCATGAGACTGGATATTCCAATATATCACTTCCCAGATTTCCCACCTTGCCCTCTGTAAACTTAAGGTTATCCAAAACTCTGCTGCATTTTCTAACTAGCTGCTGACCTAACTTACCTTCTGGTCTGGAAACACTTTTATTTTTAAAATTGGCATCCTTAGTTTCAAATTGCTCCATGGCTTTATCCCCTCCCATCTCTGTAACCTCATCCAACTCCAAAGATCTCTGTATTCCTCCAATTCTGGCTTCTTGTGCATCCCCAGCTTTCATCATTCTGCCCTTTGGTGATAATGCTTTCAGCTTTTAAGGCCATTAATACTGGAATTCCCCCATTAAACTGCTGTACTGTTGTACACGCCCCTTCCCTCTTTTCTGATGATCCTTGTAAGTTGACCTCTTTGACCAAAGTTTTTGTCAGCTGTAATATCTCCTTATATCTCTTAGGTAGCTTGTGACAAATTTTATTTCAACAATGTCTCTGTGAAGCACCTTGGAATGATGTGTTATGTTAAAGGCACTGTATAATTTCAAGTTGGTGTTCAATGGAATGGGTTAATGCAAAGTTTGTGGCAATGGCTATTTACCAAGTGACAAGTTATTGATAAAACAAGAAAAGCTAAGAATGTAAATTTAGTGAGATATCACTATACAAGCAAGCTTAATTTAAAGAAACAAAAAAACATAAATTGCTGGAAAACCTCAGCAGGTCTGGCATCATCTGTGGACAGAAAACAGAGTCAATGTTTTGGGTCCAGTGACCCTTCTTCAGAACTGATTGTAATTAGGAAAAGGTGGTGCTGAAGACTGAAGATGGGGAGGGAAGGAAAAGGAATAAACAGAATAAAGAAACTGGAATTACAAGACAGCCTTAGGCTTTTCTATTTCCAATTTGGGCAGATCTCTTGGGTATTTTTCTGGTGCAGGCTCAATAGATCACATTGGGAAATGATCTTTTGGCCTTTGCTAGTCTAGTTCTGTTAGTGCTCACCAGTTTTATCAAGCTACTCATTATGGGCTATTAAATCTTTTAGTCTGTAATTACATAATGTTTGCTTTATTCTTCCAGATTTAAAGAAACTTCAATTCATTTAACAAAAACAAAGTTGCTGGAAAAGCCCAGCAGGTCTGGCAGCATCTGTGAAGTTAAAAACAGAGTTAACGTTTCAAGTCTGGTGACCCTCCCTCAGAACAGGGTAACCAGACCCGAAACGTTAACACTGTTTTTTCCTTCACAGATGCTGCC